CCCTGCTTCACTCCGTTGGTCACTGCGAATGCCTCTGAGACAGCTCCGTTGTCCGTGACTCGCGCCATCATACCGTCGTGCAGCTGACGCACCATCTGAGTGAATCGCTCCGGACAGCCGAATTTCTGCATGATCTTCCACAGTCCTTCACGATTCACCGTGTCGAAGGCTTTCGTCAGGTCCACGAAGGTAGAGTACTGGTGGGTCCGCATCTCCCGGCACTTCTCCTGAAGTTGGCGGGCTGCGAAGATCATATCCGTGGTCCCACGATGACGACGGAAGCCGCATTGGCTTTCCGGCAGAAGGCCCTGTTCCAGATGGTTGTTGAGGCGGTTGAGCAGGATGCGAGCGAAGATCTTCCCGGCGATGTTCAGTAGGGAGATGCCGCGGTTGTTGTCGCAGACTTGGCGATTCCTTTTGCGCTTGTATAGGTGCACGACAGTTGCGTCCTTGAAATCTTGCGGGACTTCACCTTGACGCCACATCTCTTGGAAGAGCGCAGTCAGGTGATCCATGAGTTGTGGACCTCCGTGCTTGTAGACCTCAGCAGGGATTGCGTCCGATCCGGGTGCTTTCCCGCTGGAGAGCTGCTGCACGGCTCTGATCGTTTCCTGGAGAGATGGCGGGAGGTCGAGGTCCGCGTTGGTCGCCACTTGCGGCAAGCGGGCGATGGCGGCTTCGGAGATGACGGAAGGGCGGTTGAGGACGCCTCGGAAGTGCTCGGCCCATCGCTGCAGGATTTGCGTCTTCTCAGTCAGGAGAGTGCTGCCGTCGGCGGTGAGGAGAGGAGCAGTGCCCTTCTTCGGCGGACCGTAGACAGCTTTGATCGCAGAGAAGAAGTTCTTTCATTCGTTGCGGTCCGCGTAGCCTTGGATCTCCTCAGCTTTGCGAGCAGTCCAGGCGTCCTGCATCTCGCGCAGTCGTTGCTGAAGCTGGCGGCGACTGAGGTAGAAGGCAGCTTTGTTGCCCTCAGTTGGGTGCTCTACGTAGGCTTTGTGTAGGCGGTTCTTCTCGGCAAGCAGATTTCTGATGGCAGCGTCGTTGTCGTTGAACCAGTCCTGGTGTTGGCGGGGAGCGCGACCGAGGACGGCGAGCGCCGTCGACTGGACTGTGTCACGCAGTTGACACCAGCGG